GGGACAGGGACAGTGGGAACGGGACAGTGGGAACGGGACCGGGACAGGGACAGAGGGAACGGGACAGGGACAGAGGGAATGGGACAGGGACAGGGACGGAGGAAACGGGACAGGGAACGGGACAGGGACAGTGGGAACGGGACAGGAACAGAGGGAACGGGACAGGGACCAGGACAGGGACAGTGGGAACGGGACAGGGACAGAGGGAACGGGACAGGGACCAGGACAGGGACAGTGGGAACGGGACAGGGACAGAGGGAACGGGACAGGGACCAGGACAGGGACAGTGGGAACGGGACAGGGAACGGGACAGAGGGAACGGGACAGGGACCGGGACAGGGACAGGGAACGGGACAGGGACAGGGAATGGGACAGGGACCGGGACAGTGGGAACAGGACAGGGACAGGGACAGTGGGAACGGGACAGGGAACGGGACAGCAGGAACAGGAGAGCATCGGGACCGGGACAGAGGGAACGGGACAGCATTGGGAACGGGACAGAGGGAACCGGACAGGGACCGGGACAGAAGGAACGGGAGAGCATCGGGACCGGGACGGCATAGCGGAACCGGGTACCGCAGGGAACAGGGAGCATCGGTACCGGGACAGCAGGACCGGGATAGGGACAGGGTCTGGGACAGGGACAGCGGGACCAGGACAGGGACAGCGGGAACGCGGCAGGGACCGGGATAGGGACAGCTGGAACGGGAGCATCGGTACCGGGAGCGGGATAGCGGGAACCGAGACTCGGTACCGGGACGGGGACAGCGGGACCGGGAGCATCGGTACCGGGACGGGGACAGAACACACCGGGCACCCCGGTACCGGGCCCGGCGCGGCCCCGGCGCCGCCGCCCGCCCGCTCCCGCCGCCCGCTCCGCCATCCCCATTGGCCGCCCGCCCTCCGCGCCGCCGCTCCGATTGGCTGCGCGCGGGGGAGTCCCGCCCCCTCCGTGAGGCGCTCGGCGAGGTGATTGGTGGAGACGGCGGCTACACCGCATTGGTCAGCGGCGATGAGGGCGTGCTATTGGTCCAGAGAGCTGCCGGTCACGCAGCGCTGTATTTTCATTAGGTAAAACCACACGAGTCCCTCCTCTTCCCTTCCATTGGCTAAACCCAGCCTCTTCCCTCACCTCCTATTGGCCACCGTCCCTCCCACTCTCCCCTCCCATTGACCCATCTCGCCGTCACTCACCGCCGTAGGCTCACAATGAGCCCAGCGTGTGGCCGGCCATAAACAATACACACGATGCTCCGCCCCTTTTCCGCCGCAGGCCCCGCCTTTTCCGCCCAGTCCAAGATGGCGGCGGCCAGGCGCGGCTGGCGGCCGTAGCGGAGCCTGGCGGGACCGGAGCGCTCCGGGCGGGCCCGGGGCGGGAGCGGATCGGCCCCGAGGCCTCTCGGACCGGCCATGGCGGCGGCGGCGGGCGGCGGGGCCGGCGGGGGCCGGCGGGAGCCCCCGCACACGCTGCAGGGGCTGCTGGAGATGGCGGTGGCGGCCGGGGAGGCGCAGCCGCAGCCCCGCGAGCCCATGGCCGAGGAGGCGAGGGCGGCTTTGGGGGGAATTGGGAGATTTTTGGGGTTTTAGGGGCTGGGGGGGCTCTTGGGGGTCTTTTGGGGTCTCTTTGGGGTCTTTTGGGGTCTTTTTTGGGGTCTTTTGGGTGTTTTTGGGCTCTTTAGGGGCTCCTTGGGGGCCCTCTGGGGTCTCTGGGCTCTTTGAGCGCTGATTTTGTGGCGATTTTGGGGTAATTTTTGCTGATTTTGGGGTAATTTTTCCTGATTTTGGGGTAATTTTTCCTGATTTTGGGGTAATTTTTCCTGATTTTGGGGTAATTTTTCCTGATTTTGGGGTAATTTTTCCTGATTTTGGGGTAATTTTTCCTGATTTTGGGCCAATTCTACCCGATTCTGTGGTAATTTGGCCTCCCAGAGGTCGGTTCGGGGTAACTGTGCCTGATTTTGGGGTGATTTTGGAGAATTTCTCCCGTTTTCCCCTCCGGAGGCAGCGGTGGCCCCGGGCTGTGATGTCCCAGGCTTTGCCCGGCCCTGCGTTCATTCTGGGTTAATTTATGCTAATTTATGCTAATTTCACCCCGTTTTTTCTCTTTTTAGAGGCAGCAGGGGCTCCGGGCTGTGATGTCCGAGGCTTTGCCCGGCCCTGGGTTCATTCCAGTCAAACTTTAGGGCATTTTTTTGACAATTTTAGATCAATTTATGCTAATTTATGCTAATTTATGCTAATATAATCCAGTTTTTCCCCTCTCCAGAGGCAGCAGTGGCTCCTGAGGCCGTGTCTGATGTTTTGGGCACCCCTGGGTTCATCCCAGTGTAACTTTGGGATACTTTTGGATATTTCAATGATAATTTATGATAACCTTATGCTAATTTATGCTAATTTCACCCCATTTTCTCTCTGTTTAGAGGCAGCAGTGGCTCCGAGAGGCCGTGTCTGACGCCCTGGGCACTCCTGCTTTAATCCCCGTGTAACTTTGGGATACTTTTGGCTATTTCGATGATATTTTATGATATTTTATGATAACTTTATGCTAATTTATGCTAATGTCACCCCGTTTTTCCCCTCTCCAGAGGCAGCAGTGGCTCCGAGAGACCGTGTCCCAGGCTCTGGGCACTCCTGCTTTAATCCCAGTGTAACTTTGGGATACTTTTAGCTATTTTTATGATATTTTATGATAACTTTATGCTAATTTATGCTAATTTCACCCCGTTTTTCCCCTCTCCAGAGGCAGCAGTGGCTCCTGAGGCCGTGATCCCAGGCTCTGGGCACCCCTGGGTTCGTTCCAGTGTAACTTTGGGATACTTTTAGCTATTTTATGATAATTTATGATATCCTTATGCTAATTTATGCTAATTTATGTTAATATAATCCAGTTTTTCCCCTCTCCAGAGGCAGCAGTGGCTCCTGAGGCCGTGTCCCAGGCTCTGGGCACCCCTGGGTTCGTTCTGGGTTCATTCCAGTGTAACTTTGGGACACTTTTAGCTATTTTTATGATATTTTATTGCTAGTTTATGCTAATTTATGCTAATTTCACCCCGTTTTCTCCCCGTTTAGAGGCAGCAGTGGCTCCGAGAGGCCGTGTCCCAGGCTGTCTCAGGTCCAGGCTCGGTCAGGGCGGAGCTGCAGCGCTGCCTGGGGGTCCTGGCCGGGCCCTGCCCCGCCGAGGCCGCCCCCGAGCGGGGGCTGGGGGACGCCGGGGGGCACGCGAGCCCATGGCCGAGGAGGTGAGGGCGGCTCGGGGGGTTTGGGGCCTTTTGGGGGGATTTGGGAGATTTTTGGGGTTTTAGGGGCTGGGGGGGCTCTTGGGGGTCTTTTGGGGTCTCTTTGGGGTCTTTTGGGGTCTTTTTTGGGGTCTTTTGGGTGTTTTTGGGCTGGGCGGCTCGGGGGGGTTTGGGGCCTTTTGGGGGGAATTGGGAGATTTTTGGGGTTTTAGGGGCTGGGGGGGCTCTTGGGGGTCTTTTGGGGTCTCTTTGGGGTCTTTTGGGGTCTTTTTTGGGGTCTTTTGGGTGTTTTTGGGCTCTTTAGGGGCTCCTTGGGGGCCCTCTGGGGTCTCTGGGCTCTTTGAGCGCTGATTTTGTGGCGATTTTGGGGTAATTTTTGCTGATTTTGGGGTAATTTTTCCTGATTTTGGGCCAATTCTACCCGATTCTGTGGTAATTTGGCCTCCCAGAGGTCGGTTCGGGGTAACTGTGCCTGATTTTGGGGTGATTTTGGAGAATTTCTCCCGTTTTTCCCTCCGGAGGCAGCGGTGGCCCCGGGCTGTGATGTCCCAGGCTTTGCCCGGCCCTGCGTTCATTCTGGGTTAACTTATGCTAATTTATGCTAATTTCACCCCGTTTTTTCTCTTTTTAGAGGCAGCAGGGGCTCCGGGCTGTGATGTCCGAGGCTTTGCCCGGCCCTGGGTTCATTCCAGTCAAACTTTAGGGCATTTTTTTGACAATTTTAGATCAATTTATGCTAATTTATGCTAATTTATGCTAATATAATCCAGTTTTTCCCCTCTCCAGAGGCAGCAGTGGCTCCTGAGGCCGTGTCTGATGTTTTGGGCACCCCTGGGTTCGTTCTGGGTTCATTCCAGTGTAACTTTGGGATACTTTCGGATATTTCAATGATACTTTATGATAACGGGTCATTGGGGTCACCCAGGGGTCATTGAGAGGTCAGTCGGGGTCACCCGGGGGTCACTGGGGTCATTGGGGTCACCCAGGGGTCATTGAGAGGTCAATTAGGGTCATTTGGGGTCAGAAAACCCCAAAAATTGGGAGAAATTAGGGGGAAATTTGGGGAGCAGGGGTCAGTGGTCACTCAGGGGTCATTGGGGTCACCCGGGGGTCATTGGGGTCATTGAGAGGTCAGTCGGGGTCAGGAAACCCCAAAGTTTGGGGGAAATTTGGGGATTAGAGGTCAGGGGTCACTTGGGGGTCACCCAGGGGTCACTCAGGGTCATTTGGGGTCAGGAAACCCCAAAATTTGGGGAAAATTGGGAGAAATTTGGGGGCAATTTGTGGATGAGAGGTCAGGGGTCACTCAGGGGTCATTGGGGTGGATTTTGGGTCATTTCCTTTGGGATTTGTGCCGTTCTCACCCCTTTAACCCCATTTTAACCCCCTTTAACCCCATTTTAACCCCTTTAACCCCATTTCTTCCCCCTTTAACCCCATTTTAACCCCATTTAACCCCATTTTTTCACCTTTTCACCCCATTTCTTCCCCATTTAACCCCATTTCTTCCCCCTTTAACCCCATTTTTTTCCCATTTTAACCCCATTTTTTCCCATTTTAACTCCATTTTAACCCCATTTTTTCCCATTTTAACCCCATTTTCCCCCTTTTCCCCCCAGATTTCTGCTCGCTGGGGGGCCTGGAGGTGATTTAGGGGTGGATTTTTTGCCATTTTCACCCCTTTAACCCCATTTCTTCCCCCTTTAACCCCATTTTTTCCCCATTTAACCCCATTTCACCCCATTTCTTCCCCCTTTAACCCCATTTTTTCCCCCTTTAACCCCATTTCTTCCCAATTTAACCCCATTTTTTCCCATTTTAAC